GAGAGCTTCGCCAGGAGCGCCACGCTCGAGCGCCACAAGCGCGTCCACAAGCCGCTCTTCGCCAGCTGAGCGCTGCGGCGGCCACGGCAAGAAGCCCGAGCCTCGGAACAGTGGATTCATAAGCGCTGGACCCTATAGGTGTATATATAGCACGGGGGGAGGGGGGTGTATGAGGTAGAAGCCATACTGCGGTGCGGGGCGGTGGGGGCCGGTGTCACCCTGTAGAATAAAGTCTTGCTGTCCGGGGCAGTGTTGAGTGCGTTGTGGTCGCGGTCCCTGCCGAGGGGCAGCCCAGAGGGCGCCGGGGAGGGCGGATGTTGGGGTGCTCCGGAGCGGGAGAAGCGCTGTTCCTCCCATAACGCCCACAGACATCCCGGGAGCTTCCAGGGCCTGCTTTTGTGTGGCAGAAGGCTTAGGGAGGAATCCCGGGTTTCTAGCCCTTTGCCAACCCCACCGCCCTGCCCAGGCCTGAGGGAGGGAATCACCGCCTTGGGAACACTGAAGCCACCTGGGGCTCTGGCCCGCACCTCTCCTTTATTGCATCCTCCGGCAGCCGCGTACAGAACGGGAAGGGGATTCCGGCTCCGCGCGGCTTGCGAGGCGGGAGCAGAGCCCTGCGGAGCAGGGAGGGGGGTTCCGGGAGGAGGGGGACGGTGCCCCCCGGGAGCAGCCCGTGTCGGTGGTGACGCCGTCGAGGGGCAGCCGCGGGACCCGGGGCTACGCCTTGGTCGTCACGGCCTGCGTGGCCCCCAGCGCCGACAGCTGCTGGATCTTCTGGCTCATCATTTCCACCACGGCTGCGGGAAGACGGAGGGCCGGGATGGTGATGGGGAGTGGCGGTGGGGGGTGGCAGCAGCGGGTGACAGCGGGGAGCAGGACGGCTCCTTACCCTGCTTCATGGCATGTTTCTCCTGGAGTGCCGGCTGGATCTTCTCCATCTGCTTGGTCAGGAAGTCGATTTTCCGCTTGAAAAAGTCTCGGGCGTCATCCGCGCTCTGGTGGGGGAGAAGGACATTCCTGGGGTCGCAGGTTGGCCCCCCCAGGGCAGCTCTCGCCCCCCCGCACCTTCTCCACGTAGTAGCCGGTGCCGACGTCGAGGAGCACGCGCCCGACATCCAGCAGCTTCCCAGGGACGTACATCTGGCGGCATCGCGGGTCAAGGCGGAACAGGGAGCCCAGAAAAGGCCGCGGCTCGGGGAGCAAAGCGCCCGCACTGGGACCAGGACACCGAGCAGCGGCCGCGTCCCTCCCGCGGCCACAACAACCAACCCCGAGCCCCGGTGGGCAACGGTCCCACATCCTCGTCAGCAAAAGCAGAGGCAACAGCAGCGGATCGGCAGGGCCGGCAAAGGATACGGAGCTGGTGAGCGGGACCAGCAGGTCCTTCCCTGTGGAAAAGGAGGAGGAAACACGTTCGAGCGCCGGGTGACGGCAAGGGACAAGGACAGGGGCTGGCGGGGGCCGGGACTCACCCTCGTTGCTCTTGTGCAGCACCGCGAGACAGTCCTTGGCCTCCACGTACTTGGTCTGCACCACCTTGAGCTGCGCCACGGAGGACGACAGGAATTCCACCTCCTGCGGCAGCGCGGCCCTGAGCGCGGCCCGGGCGGCCTGGCGCCGGTACCGAGCGGCACGGCCCCCGCTCCGGCCTGGCCCGGGACCCCAGCGACCGCCCCGTCCAACCCCACGTGCCCCCCCAAGCCCCCAAGTCCAGCCCCACGTGTCCCTC